CGGGAGGTCTTTTAAAATTAATATAAATCCCCCGCCCTCACCTCCTAGACCTGAAAAAACTTCATATAGCCTAAAAGCCGAGGAAGGAGAAAAAAAAAAGTCAAGCCAACCCAATAAACCAAGCAACGGTAGTCGAAGTGGAGGAAAACAAGGGAGCTTGCAAGGGGCTGTCTGTTTTTTAAGGAATCTTAAGAATTGTAAGCAGAAGTCGTACTGGAAACAAACAGATATGATAAGTCAACCGACTTTAGTTGTTCGTACATAATCGTTCTTCGTCATTTTGGGCTTCTATGTGGAATATAGAAACTTCCTATCTAGGATTTTTTTTTTAACTATACCGTACAATGAACGTACGAAGAATCGTGCAAAATTAATCAACCTGAAATATTCATTATGTATCATTTTAAATCAAAATATAATTCCAATGTACAGACAGTTTAATAATCATCGTGTATTTTTATAACGCAATCGATTACTTCCCATTTATTCATTTTTAAATGTTTGGCGTTATGCAATATGCATAAAAAATAATAGTATAATTTCATTAAAACTTTTTTTTACTGTTTTCGAATTAATCAATAATAATTACGATTTTATTTATTTAATAAGTAATCCAAAATCAACTCAATCCAACATAAACAAATTATTGACAATACTTATCCTTTAATGTTAGCAACTATTATTTATTACTGCATTATAAATATTAAATATTCTCTCATTACTATTTAAAAAACGTCTGCCAAGTAAGGTCAGTAAAGCTTCCTCACCGTTTTCATTGGCTAAAATATTAAAATATTACGAGGTATACAATTTTTCGTATGAGAATAAAATTCCTGGTAGAAGCCGATTCGGAAATTCAGTTATCCATCGAAATTTGCGGGTTTGATATCCACGAATCTCGTTTATCAGCTAATATTAAAATAAGAAAGAGTGCCGTATTTGAAGATTCTATATTTGATTATCATTAATTTAAAAAAAAAATGCAAGCATATCACTACTGTTAGTACAAAAGGTCGTATGTAAAAATTGATTGTTTAGCAAGAGTGCATAAAACTCATTATTTCTTTATGCTTTATTAGTATAATTTCATATTTTATTGCTCTCTGCTATTTTCCATAGTACCAGACTAGTTATATCAGTTGCAGACTACAATATGCCACCTTTAGCACAAAAAGAATTAGAGTTTTAGAATATATTTTTACATACGACCTTTTTACACTAATAGTAGTGATTTATACTTAATAGGTATTTTTTCACTCGTAAAATGGAAGAGAGAGAAATTCCATAGGAAAAATTCAACTTGTTGTTTGTTCGGAGTTAATGTGGCCAATACTTCTGTCAGAACTAAACGCTTTAAGCCAGAAAATATAAAAATGTGGGTGAAGGACACACATAACTTCGATATTTAAGGAGGAATTCGAGACCAAGACGAACTGATTGAACTTTAAAGGAAATAAACACAATCACAAATAACACGTTGTTTTTTCTACAAACTCAAGAGTATAAATTACTTTAAATGTATTGAAAATTTCATGAAATCTAAGTAACGGCAGTAAATATCATACCAGTAACATTTGAAATCGACAATTTTTTTTAATAAAACAAATAAAAAAAAATAGATAAATAAATACATTTTTTGAATAAAACCTAAAATTTGATAACCCCATAATAATATTGTAGTAACCTAACTCCCACTACATATGATCAGTGCATTTAACATTTCGTAACCATTATATTGTTAACAATTATTTATGTTAATTTTGATTATGTAATGAAATTGATAATAAGTAATTTCTATACTGTTCTCTAAATTTCCTCCAAGTATTGGCATATCTACAAAAATGCGTTTTGGCGTGTGTAAGCCGAAGTGCTGGTTAGAATTTAATGAAATTGATATGGGACCATTTCCTGGGACCATTCCAGGCACCAATCCGCATAATCCTAAAAAATCGGATGAACGGTACTAGGTGATATGCCCGTCACATCGATTTGACTACAGGCAGACATACCGTCACCGAACCAAATTTGATCCTTGATGTCTGAAACGTAAAACTCGAGTGAAAATTTTCGATTCTGAGCACAAATTTTTTTTTAACCTCTCGCACGAACACAATGCTTCCCTACCTTCGGTAGCGACGAAGCAAAATTTGTAGTGTTGAATACTCAACAGTTAACCGTAGTCCAATATATGAATAGTGAAAAACTATTTTATTTTAGCCAACGCTTCGACCCGACTATGTAGTCTGTATGAACTATGTACTATGAATACTATGAAGTCTCATTAGAGCTAGAATGGACAAGACACAAAAGTATATAAAACAATTTTTGGGAGATAACTGATATTTAGATGAAAATTATAAATAGTGTAAATAGAAAGTATTATAAATTAGAGTAAATTAAGTATTAAGAGCATTTAAGTATTAAACTAAATGACTAGACTAAAATAAAGTATATAAAAATTGTAGAGCAGAAAAATTTAATGTAATAAAGAGGATGGATAGTATACATAATCAAGAATATAATCGGACAAATCTTAAGGAAAGATTAAAAGGGAAAATTATTAATTAAAATGAACGGAGGTATGAATTAACAAAAAAATAGAAGGGCGAAAAAAGAGATATTAATAAAGAATGGAATATAATAAATATTTTTTTAATTCTATCTTTCTTGTTAGTTATATCTTTAAGTACTGCTATAAAGTTCAAAATTAATATTATTATTTATGTTAATTTTTTTTAATGTTTTCAGTTTCATTTGGTATAATATATATTTTGATTTGCAATATTTATCCCTGTTTTCTTATATTTTTACTGCATTATAATTTATTAATTAGTTGTTATTTATTATTTCAAATAACTTGTCTTTAATTTTCTGCATTTGTTTTATGTGTTAATTTTATTAATTTTTTTTAATCGGTTTGGAAACAAACCCGTTTGAAATGTTCACGACGTCGTACGACATTGTGTATCCAATGTAGCCACGCCCCTTCTATCTAACTGTTTGTTTAATATACTTTATTAAAATAATTTTAATATAAATTTCAAAAAAATGCAATTAATGACTAGAGAAAAATAGGTTATTTTACAGAATGGTTTGGATAATTTCATTATCGATTGGCAAGAACTGTAAAAATGAAAAATAAATCAGTGAATTAATATGTTAATTCGTTTGGTAACTTTTTTCTTTTTTTATTTAAACATTGATGCAATAGTCATGGATTAAAATTAATAATCAATGAGATATTTACGATGTTATCTATAAATTATAATGTATGACTATAATTGCTGAAATAAATTGCAAAAGAAATAAACGATAACTTGAATCCATAGATATTAACTTAAACGAAAAAAAAAGACTTTGGTTAACAAGCGGTGTGGATTTAAACAATCCCCGCAAAATTATTTACTATATTTAATTAAAATAGTCTCAATATGAGTTCTAGAAAAATGTAATTAATGAATAGACAAAAACAAATATATTTACAGAATGCTTTGAATAATTTTATTTATGATAGATAGGGACTGAAGAAACATGATATGAATTAACCTTTTTAACTAATCTGGTAATTTTTCGGTATTTTTAAACAACATTTAATTAGTACAGATTAAAATATACACTATATATTGTATTTAAAATAGAATGTATTTTGTTAAAATGCGATTTTTAATTGTTTAAATATGAATTCCATATAACTTAAAGTAATAAGCAGAATCCAAATAATATTTAATTATATTATTGAATAAGGTGACGATGTGCTAGAGAAAAAAATTATATATTTTATCTTTATTTTTTAAATTTAAAATATATAATTAATAAAATTAACGATGTTCTATGATATTTTTAATTTTTATATTTTGCGTACTATTGGCCATTCAAAGTTACAACTTATTTTCTCCTATAATGAAAATGTATTAGATATTTAACAATAACATGAAAATAGCTATTATTGTAATTTTCTACTATATTTTGAATTATTTTTGGATTACTTATCGAATAAATAATACCGTAATTAATACTAATTAATTATTAAAAATCTTAATGGAATTAACTATTATTTTGTATATATATTGAATAAATATAATACAATTACATGGATTATAAAACATTCAAAGATGAATGAAAGATTATGTTTTTGAGCTGAACAGTAGAGCAGTCGTATCGTATCGAGACGGATCCAATTTAACCACGGCCCAACACTTACGTTTATTATCCCTTAATATTTCTTAGCCCTTTGTTAATTCATTTTTCATTCCTTTGCTAATTTCGTTATGTTGTTACCGTTATTTTATTATTGTTTATTTCATAAGTTCCTCACTCTGTTACCGTTATTATTTATTTCGTAAGTGCCTAACTTTATTACCGTATATATTCTAACTTGGCTTTTGCTACTGTCTATTCCTAACTTTGTTAGCGTTATTTTATATTTCCTTAATTTATGTATCTGCCTTTCCACATATTTATTAATATTAAGTTTATTCTACCTACATGTTATTAGATTACTCCTTTTACCTACATATCATTATTTTTTAATGTTTACTAGTTTCTTATATGTATTTTTATCTTGCTTTGCTTAGCCATGATAAAGGCTTTAGCCATGAAGACATTTAGCCGAAACGTCGACAAAAATAAAATAAAATATAATTTATTTATTTTTACTTAGTTACTTGTGACTTCGGTTGATATAATGCCATTTATACGTTTTGAAAAGGATTTTCCCATTATATTAATAATCATAAATTAAATTTAAATAAGTTATGCATTAAAGTATTGTAGATTTAAACATTATTCAATTACAAACATTACGGATTACAAATCACAAAACTCGGAAATTTAAATATGAATATTATATTACAATGGTAATATATGATGATTCTCTCGTTATGTATTTTCGGTGTAGTTCTATATATGACTATATTGTTGATTCAAGTATTACATGACCCTAACTGCTTATTTGTATGTAGGATAATTAATTATTTATTGTTTTAAATATATGTTCTTACGACGGTTTTCCGAGAGTATCCTCTTACAACGGGTCGAATCGATGAGGTGTAGAGACACTACCTTGAGGATGGTATAGGATTTCGCATTCGTTCCTCCCCAGCTGTACGCTTTACATTCCACTTTCGCTAGAAAAAGTTCGTTGAGCCGTTCTGAAGTTTCTCTGGCGTCTCCTTTCGGTAGTGTAGCAGGTTGAGTTTTAAAATTGTAAGAAAAGTCTTTCATTACAGCAATAGCACCGAAGTCATTTAATAATTCCCTAGCATTAAATTCAGGGTGTACGAAAAATCTATATACCATTCTAATTTTTCCTCTTTCTACATATCTGCTTCCAGTACTAACTAGATGTTCTTGTGGATTGGATAGTTTATATGGTTTGTCTCCTTTCGTCTTGTCACCTGAAAAAATAAATCTATACATTATAACGAATTCATTTGGTTATTGCAATGAATTGAATATTGTCAAATAATATTAAGTAATATTATTTACTAAATTTATAATAATAATTATAGGATTAGTGAATTAAAAAAATTACACTCAATACCATAAGGAATTGGTACCACATACCTCCGTCCACTGAGTACGTCAAAACCCAATCCGCCTTAACACAATCCTCCCACCTACTTCACAGGCAATGGCCAATGATCACATATTTATTGTTATGTCAACTTTATATAATATGCTTCATTACTAATCCTCATAGGATTACTTGTCCATTTGACAGTTGAGATGATATTCTTTCAATTGTATTCACTGTTTTTCAAATTGGTTGTGAATTCCAATAAAACGTTTTAAATATTACAAACCTACAATTCTTCCTTAAACTGCAGGATAACTTAGAAACAAGAAATGCTGATATTTACCACTGAGCATCTGTTAAGAGTAAAAGTAACAGAGATATCAATGTATTTTTGGAGAGTTATATGACACCAGCACGGCATGAGAACATGAAGTGGCTATCTCTGGAGTCAGAAGTAAAATGAGACGCACCATAAAGTGATTCAGAATAATTATAGTGAGACAAGAATTCATTCCCATCATATTTATAGAAAATATAAATAACTATAATATACAAACAAAATAATGAAATTAAAAATAAATATCTGTATATACTATAAATACAAATAAACATAAAGATAAGTAAAGTAAAATCACAACTTATATACAGGCACACTTACTAAATTTTACAAGCATTCATTTAGAGAATGTGAGAGAGTTATCAATGTATTTTTGGAAAGTTATAAGACACCAGCACGGCATGAGAACATGAAGTGGCTATCTCTGGAGTAAGAAGTAAAATGAGACGCACCATCAAGTGATTCAGAATAATTATAGTGAGACAAGTCTGTGTGAGAGAGAATGTGAGAGAAATCTGTTAAGAGTAAAAGTAACAGAGTTATCAATGTATTTTTGGAGAGTTATAAGACACCAGCACGGCATGAGAACAAGAAGTGGCTATCTCTGGAGTCAAAAGTAAAATGAGACGCACCATAAAGTGATTCAGAATAATTATAGTGAGACAAGAATTCATTCCCATCATATTTATAGAAAATATAAATAACTATAGTATACAAACAAAATAATGAAATTAAAAATAAATATCTATATATACTATAAATACAAATAAACATAAAGATAAGTAAAGTAAAATCACAACTTATATACAGGCACACTTACTAAATTTTACAAGCATTCATTTAGAGAAACTCCAAACCAAGCCTTTCATATACCTGTGGAAGGAAAACCATGACATTAGGAGGTCCCAGCTTTCTTCCTCAGCCTTGTAATTTTATTAATAGGGTGCAATAACCTCAAACGTAAATGGCTAGAGTGGAGAATCTGGCCATTGCCGAAACGATAATTTATTCTTATTTACAAAAGGTAAAGACCTGTTTCAATATTTGAGGAGGATGGGTGTAAGTGGGTGGGCTAGTGAATTTGGAGAATTTGGCCGGGTGAAGGTCTAGAACCGATGGAATAGTAAGGTGAACATTAATATTAATCTGAGTTGGATGATAGAACGGCGGTGTCAGAAAAGAAGTTTTTACAGTTGTTGATACTTCACTATGCGAATTAATACATGGTTTAAGGTTTATAATGACGTAATTTCTTGATAATCAACCTCCAATGTTGTGGTTATGAGAATAAGGGCTAAATCGGATTTAGCACCACTGGTATCAGTCCTTTGAAGGCAACGGATGTCTAAGATGCCTTGTATGTGCTGTAAAGCCTCTTTAACTTCAACATTAGAATTTTTGATACGGCTGGTTGCTGCCACGAGGCGCAAATGTATAAAATTGACTGCCTTTAATTAACATCAGCTTTTTAATGTTATTGTAAGATTCGAGATTACTAGGACATATCTTAAGACAATAGCGAAACATTTGACTACTATATTCCGTAACATGGTTTGTGTCGAGCAATTGACGTATTTCTGTGATCCTAGATCCGGGGTTCAGTTACATAGATGGTGGTTTCACTATTGAGACAGTGGCGTTTACAATATTTTTTGGTATATTAATCGATTTGGTAGAAAAAGAGCTGAAAACGTTTACTGGAGTTACCTCTTGATCCTGAGTCTTGGCTGTTATCTTAGGATAGACATATGCGGCGGTTGTTTGGCTGATCTTTCTCTTATCGAATTTGGATTCCACTTCCATATCTTGGACCACATGAACAGTTGGATGGTGAAGGGATGGAGCCCAAATGCGAGACCAAAATCAGTGTTGGTCATGCGCAAGACTCTCGTAACAGTCTTGCATTTATTTATTAGCTTATTACTATAGAGATATTACTGTAATTTTTTAGACAGGAGAAACCTAACTAAGCCCGAATGAAAAATTAGACGAGTTGAATGAAAAAAATGTTGGTTATACCAATTACTTACAAATAGTAACTAAGATTGTCAAGTATTAGTAACTATTTTGCCTTAATTTTTATTTTAAAAAATCGATATTTTTTACCATTCCTGGTCTTGGTCTTGCAACAGTTAGGCGGCCTTGGTCTTAGTCTTCCAAAGTGCAAAACCAAGACCGATTTTGGGCAACACTAATTCTGACCGAATTTTTCTTTTTGATGGTTGTCTGTAAGAGTTTCCAGAATTTGCGGTAATCTCCATGAGTAGCAAGGATTTAGTTTTCCCATAGTGACGATTTACACTTCTTCATTAAATTTCTAATTTGTGTAGTCAAACTATTAACAGTCCTTTTGTAATTTGGATTTTTGGTACGGTACCACCTATTTTTCCAAGTATTTCTTAGAGCTATCAGTTCTAAGATGTGATCAGGTGGAGTCCTGTGTGAGGGAGGAAGAGGAGCGAAGAGTGGAATGGATGAATTCGCTGCACATGTAATTATTCCAACGAAATCATTAATAAATTCATCGATGGCATCTGAGGTGTGTAACTTGTAAGTGATGTGAGTCTGGTCTCTACTAGGGATTAGTGTTGTACCACTGAGTGTGCCGTGCATTGAGGTCACCAATGATCCAATGGTTCGTCTTTTTACTACATTCTATTAAGAAACGACGAAATTCTGTAAGGGAGCTTCTAGGTCTTCTGTAAAGTCCAGTTATTGTAACCGGGTGCCCAAGGTGTACCTGAATAGTAATGTGGTTAATCTTGGAATCGTTAAGAATCGTTGCTGGCGGTAGCTTTTTCCAGGCAATTCCGTGACGGATCGCTATAATAACACCGCCAAACCTTTCTCTGTTTCCATTATCCACAGTGTTATATCCAGGAATACGAATTTGGTCTGAGGAAAGTCTAACATCTGTAAATACTGCAACTGAAGGTTTGATCATAGATAACAGTAATTCTACTTCTAGTTTTTTCATAATAATGCTATTTTTTTTTTAAATCTATTTATTGAATAATAATACAATCAGCCACTGTTGGAGGGCTATAAGCATTAGGGCTAAAAGTTCTCATTCATACAATATATACAAATAATAAAGAAACAAATATAAATATAAGAAGTAAATAAATAATACTGAAGAAGAAGGTAAATAAAAATAAAAAATAAAAATAAACAAATAAAATAAAATAAATACTTCTAAACACAATCATTACTATATATAATATATACATTCGCCCAAGAATCTCCGAGCCAGGCTTTTCTCCCCACACGCGGAAGGCAAAGCAAGACTCCGGAAGATCCCAGTGCCACTTTTCCAGCCGCATCACTAGTATATAATGCTATTAGTATTGTAATTTAAGATGGTATGATTACTAGCCAAGGTGAGTTGTAAATAAAGTTATTACGGTTTGAACTAATTCCTTTATTTGTGACATGAAATTGGACATCATGTTAAAAAAGTTAGTGAACCAAGGTGGAGGTGCTGGATCTTGGTAATTTACTCCTGTAAATACCTCTGAAAAACTTAACGATTTTGCTGGTTTGTGAGGTTTTGAAAATTGTTGGTCAGGTTTTTAAGAAGGTGTGGTTTCGGTGGGAGGTTGGTGACTACCATCGTTTCTCCTCTTCAGGTGTTCCTGGAGTTCCAATCTTTTAGAACATTGACGAAATAAGGCCACATGTTCTTCCTTGCAGTTGTTGCACTTGACTCTGTTCGCCTCTCGTCAGCAATCCTTTGTATCATGGGGCCCTGAGCAGCGTACGCAGACAAGAATATGGTGGCAATGATTTTTAGTGTGACCGAACTGTTAGCATCTATAACATTGAAGGACGTCCTTGGATTTTCGGTACTTTACTATGCGAACTAGGACACGGTTTATGACATGTAATGACATAATTTCTTCAACATTAACCGCCGGTATTGTGGTTATGAGAATAGGAGACAAATCGGTTTTAGCATCGCTGGGATCGGTACTCTGAAGGCGACGGATGTCTAAGATGCCTTGGATGTGCTGTAAAGCCTCTTTAACTTCATCAACATTTTGATCAATATCGAGACCTAAGATTAAGAATTTTTGATACGATTGGTTGCTGCCACATGGTGCGAATGTATGAAACTGGCTGCCTTTTTTTATCATGAGGGTTTTGATGTTATAAGATTCAAGAGTGCTGGGATATATTTTAACGCAATCGCGGAAATTTTGACGTATTTCTGTGATTTTAGATCCGGCGTTCAGTACTAAGGGTGGTGGTTTCACTACTGTTGTGACAGAGGCGTTTATATCATCTATAGGTATATTATTGAATAAGATAGAAAAATAATTGGAAACGTTTAGTGAAGTTACTTCTTGATCCTATATCTTTGCTGTTTTCTGAGGATAGACATATCCTTCGGCTGTTTGGCTGATCTTTCTCTTATCCGACTTGGATTCCACTTCCATATCTTGGATCACCTGAACGGTGTGATGGTGGAGGGATGGAGCTAAATTCGCTGATCTGTAAAGTGGAATGTGGCTGGTTCCTGGGAGTTGACCCAACCTCCGATCGGAAGTCCGATATAATAATTATACTTTATTTATTCTGGGACGAATCTCTTTAGAATAATACAGAAAGACAAAAATGTGGGCTAAAGAGCCTCAGAGATACATAAAAAAAAATATAGTGTAAGTGAATAGTCAAATTAAAAAAATTAATAAAAGAAATTATAAGTTACTTTCTAATTTAAATCAGTTAATAATAATAAAAAAATTAAAAATTGAAAATAAACATAAAGTAAGAATAATGAGGAACGATCTGATAATTTATATACATTTTTACAGTACTATTTACAATTTCATGGGGACTGGATGGATAAGAAATGATTGAACAGACAGGTTTTAAAGGTAGGAAGAGTTTTGGATTGACGGATGTCGGGAGGGATGGAGTTCCATAGGGATGAGGATCGGATAATGAAGGATCTGTCGAAAGCAGCAGTTCGGTGGGCCCTTATGTATAAATCAGAAGACCGGGAACGATTATTGCGGGAGCGAACAGAAGATTTGAATTTGAAGGAGCTCGAAAATGTATGAAGGACGGTGAGATTGGATGACTTGAAAGAGGAAGGATTCCAGGAAATACTTACGACGGTAGGAAGGATAAAGCCACTTCAACTCTGCATAAAACGGGAAAAAGAGGTGTCCCCTGGGATCCCGAAGATGAATAGTACAAAGCAATTTATCAAACGTTTTAATTTTGCCTCGAGATCCCCAGAGATGCCCCCATATACCGTACAGCAATAGTCAAAGCGGGGAAAAATTAATGAAGTTACTAGAAGCCTACGGGTTTCAAAGGGAAATAGGTGACAGGAGTAATTTAGACGTTTTATGGTGGAAATGGTACGGCGGAAGATGTTGGATATATGATTTTTCCAGGAAAGCGTTTGATCAAAGATCATTCCAAGGTTTTTGATGGAAGGATAGAATTTTATGGGATTATCATGTAGGAACAGAGTTGGAATATTAGGAGCAGTTTTAAGCAGGTGATTGGGGCTTATTAAGATTGCCTTTGTCTTATCCGGCTGATAATAGGTCGGTGGGCGGGAAGGACAGGTATATTTGGAAATCATCTGCATAGATATGGTATTGGGAGTGATGGATCAGGAGGGGAAGGTCATTAATATAAATAGCGAACAGGATATGAGATGGAGAGGAACCTTGAGGGACACCGCAGGAGAGGGGGAGGGTTTTAGATGGAGGTTGAACTGGGACAACTACGTACTGGGACCGATTTGAAAGGAAGGATTTGAACCAACGGAGGGAATTGTTGGATAGAGGAAGATTGTGTAATTTAGTGAGGAGGATGTTATGGTCAACTGTGTCAAACGCTTTGGAAAAATCTAGAAGGATGAGGATAGTAAGGTTTTGGTGTTTAATGGAGTATTACTGTATATTACTTGTTGATTGTAATTACCTAATGTATTGTGCTTTTAATATTCACGAGAAACAAAACAATATTATATTTAATATATTTTAAACTGATGTTGATATAACATCTGATATTATATAACATACAGATATATATTAATTATATAAGCTAGAGAGGGATGCAATAATATTTTCTTGGGAGGAGGACATGTGCCATCGTCCTTGGGGAGATGGGCACCTCTGTCCACCAAAATACTTTAATTCCATCAAGCTTCCTTTCTCAGATTCAGTCCGGTATCTTGCCTTTCTACTATGTGGAAGCAGAGGTGGCCGAATGGGCTAATGCGTGTACACAGCACCACCGTTGCCTGGCAACCTAATATATGATTCAAATGATATAAAAATAGTCACGAGTTTGCTTAACGCCAAGTTAGGGAGCCTTAACGCCAAGGAAGGGAAATACAATAAAAAAAAAAAAAAAAAAGGTAGACTACGTGGAACCCATATACTAGACCCGAGACAAGAAGAAAAGAACTCAACTGGCGATATGGCCAACTATACAGTCTACTGAACAGAAAATCTAAACTTTCTATTGAAAACAAATTACCCATCTACAAGACCATCTTGAAACCTAATGAACCTATGAACTGGAACTGTGGGGGTGGTGGGGGACAATACTGAAACCTATTTAGGACTACGTATTTCAACTAGGGGGACAGCTAAATTTTCGAATATCAAACTTTTTCAATCCAAAGTTCTTCGAACAATAGTTGATGCTCCGTTCTCCACGGGACTCTTCAATATCAATTTGAACAATTTTTTGGGAGGAGGAAAGGGATTTGTTCATAGAAAAATCCTACGAGTATTACCTTTCAAGTTAAGGTTAGGTCAGAATGCACAGGGTACTTTTGATTTGATCAACAATCTTTGTGGGACTAAATAAACCCTTTTTTTAAAAAAAAACCATAGGTTCTCCAGATTAAGAGATGATCATGGCATAGAAACAGAATGAATTGTTATACATGGTTGTGCTGAAAATAAAAGAGAGATAACTCTTTTCTTTTTTCTTACGAAAACCAATAATTTATAAATATATACTTTAAATACTTGTATTAAATTAAAATTAATAATCCAAATGATTTAAGTTGACTTACGATCTGTAATACAATGAGCTGCTGTCAATAAAAAAGATTTCGATACTATAACGGCACCGCATATATGCATTGCAAGACTATTCTTTGTTCGCTGTAACGAAGCAACAAATGGTGCACTACTGATACTCGCCTCTTGCCCTCCTGTTATTCTTAGACCTCGAGCAATTCTGTTTTCAGTTTCAATATTACAAAACACTATATTTGTCATATTAAATAATAATAATAATATATGTACAAAAAATATCATGACAATAATAATTATTGAATTTTGCTAACATCTGTTTACCAATTGTGCTAATCCGTAATATAAGTCGTTTGGAAGGCAAGTGTCATTAAGCAACAACCATGAGATGGGCACAGTGTCACAATGTTAACTTTTCATGAGTTTATAGTGAAAGCAATAGAAAACCACAGTAGAACTACAATTGAAAATATATGAATTTATTTTACAGATTTGCAAGCATATTTTATAAAATGACATTTCGGTGTTAGATAATTATTTAACTTACTGACAAGATAATTTTATAGCGATAATTTTGATATTAACAATAAGCTAACTTCTATGTAGTGATTTGATTAACATAAAAACTCACTTTATATACCTTTATTTTATTTTTCATAATTATACACAAATACCTATTAATTGTGAAACATCATATGTTCCTATAACCTTATAACAGGGTTGATCTATTTTATTACTTTATTATTTTCCAATATAATCGACAAATAAAAAAAAAAGTTAACGCTCTCATAAACATTTGAGGTATTACGTTTCAAAATATACAGAATCCGAAAATCGAGTCTAGATCACAGGTCACCTGATCTTCGATTTTTTTTTTATCGCTTGAAATTTCGATATCAACTGAAGTAATCGAGATAATAACGAGAGCTGAAAAGAAAATATTTTTAATAGGCTAATATAAGCAAAGATCATTTGTTCCCAAAGTGGTAAGGAGGTAGTTTGATATGCCTCACATATTTTCTATATAACACAATAATTGACCATTAGTTAATAGTTACAACGTTTTTCTTTGCTGCTTGTTATACATATCTTGTCAATATTTTGCCGCCTTAGACTGTATAATTTTTAGGAGTTAATTAAAATTAAATTTTAAGTTTATTCAATTATTATTGTGTTGCCATATATTTTTTATATTCTACATTAAATTTATATTGATATTTATATGTATAGTAATGTATATTAGTGTTCAAAAAAATGTTGTTTTCTCATCAGCTGAATTATTTTATATTTTTTATTATCATAATCAAATTTATGGTTATTTTGAACTCTATATTTTGTTGCAGTTGTGGATTATGTTTTTTGAATTAGTTATAAGTTGCTTCGATCAATTTTTTTTTCAAATTCTGTAATTTTTCTCGAACATATACTCTTTTCAGGAAATTAGATGCATTTTATTTAATTTTAATTTTTTTGTAATTTATCAATAATAGATTAAGGACACAAATACTCTCATAAAACATTCCACAAGTAAACTATATTTTTATCAAGAAATAAGTAGTTTCAAAAATGATGTAATGATTTATCAAGGTAAATGACAGAGAAATGTACCGTGAAATAAATAAAAATAGTAAAACAACTAGCCTTTGGAAAGGACTTTTTTTTCTTCCTTATTTTTGTATTCTTTCTAACCCCCCAAAATGTTTATTTAATCAAATTACATATATAGTATTAAATTACATAACAATACAATATATTATTGCTCCTCCGTCGACACCATGGTTGATATTCTCACCACTAATCTTCTCAATATACTCAATACCCACGCTCCTCTCAAAACCTCCACCTTTCGTCATCGCCCTGCTCCTTGGATGTGTCAGGAAATTAAGGATCTGCAGAAGAGACGCACACAGACGCTTTAGACGAACTAGGCTTGCAGATGATTATCAAACATTCAGAGTGCTTCCTAACACGACACAGACAAGGATCCGACAAGCAAAAGCAAACTACTTTCATAAAGCCCTTTCCTCAGCTCCTGATATCAAATCAAAATGGTTTCTACTTCTTAAGCTTTCCCTCTGTGAACCTTCTAGATCCCCTTCCTCAGTTCCACTTTATATCGGTTTCCACCTCTTCTTTATCCTCCCCTTCCGGCTTTTCTCCAGAGGTATCTTTTAACGACAATAATTTTTTTTTCCGACATTTCTCCCACAGACCTTATTACCGTTATAATGAAATCCCGTTCCAATTCCGTAGGCCCAGGTGGCACTCTTATCAAACTAATAAAAGTATGTCTCCCTGAAATCCTCCCAGCTCTCCTTTTTATCTGCAATTTCTCCCTGCAGAATTCAATATTCCCGATCTCTTGGAAAAAAGCCATTGTTCTTCCTGTAAACAAAAAGCCTAATCCATCCTCTCCCGAAGATTTCCGCCCAATATCAATTCTTTCCAATCTTTCAAAACCCCTAGAAAAGTTAGTGCAATCCCAAGTTTCCAACTTCCTTGAACAATCAAACCAACTCGATCCTCTCCAATCTGGCTTCCGTCCTGGCTACTCTACACAATCTGCTCTGATTAAAATTACCAGTGATATACAGTCTGCAATAGATGACAAAAAACTAACTATACTTATACTTCTTGATTTCTCCAAAGCCTTTGATTCCATTATCCATTCCATCCTTTTCAACAAACTAAAATCATTATCCTTCTCCAATAGTTTCATCTCTTGGTTTCAGTCTTTCCTCTCACAACGAACCCAAGCAGTTTCCATACCTAATCAACCTCTATCTGCCTAGCTTCCTTTATCTTCTGGAGTTGCACAGGGTTCAAGCATGTCTCCTCTTCTTTTCAGCTCTTATATTAATGACCTAAATGATTCAATCATCCATTGTTCCCACCACCTTTATGCCGACGATTCTCAGATCTATTTATCCTTTTCTCCGGCTGAGTTGTTAGTGGCATTTGCTAAAATTCAAGAAAATTAAGATCGAATTAGTGCCTAGGCCAACATAAATGGATTAAGGCTAAATGCTGCCAAAACTCAGGCCATTCTCATTGGTTCCAAGCCCCTTCTTAGATCCCACACCAAATTTCCCTCACTCTATCTAAACAACCACCCTATCACCTTCTACCTCTTTGTTAAAAATTTAGGCTTTTTCATAGATTAAACCCTTTGCTGGAATCACCATATCTCTCATATCTCCCGCCGTGCAATTTCTACCCTCAAATTATTCCATTACTTCTGTCATCTTCTACCCCAAAATACCCGTAGAATCCTACTTTCCTCTCTCATCTTTCCTCACTTTGACTACAGTTGTGTGGTTTACGATGGCCTCTCGGTGGAACTCCGTGATAGACTCAAAAGACTCATGAATAGCTTTGTAAGATTTGTAATTGGGACTCCGAGACGCTCCCGTGTCTCCCACCACTACGCTGAGTTAGGGTGGCTCTTCCCCTCCTTAAGAAGACAATATTTCCAAGGCACTTTCCTTTATCAAATCATTACCGATCATCGTCCTTCTTATGCCTATAACCTTCTACAATTTAAGTCCTTCCCTCATTCCCTCACTACAAGATATCGACCCTCTGACCTATACATCCCTTCTCATAGATCTGCCTCATTCCAAAACTCCTTTATAGCCCGCTCTGTCAACTTTTGGAATTCCCTCCCGATCAAAATTCGACATGCCCCTTCTCTATACACATTCAAAAACCTCCTATTCCAATTCTTGTTCCAAAAACAGTTAGATACCAGCTAACTATTAATACTATATATGTATTGTGTAGCAATCATATAATCATAATACTTGGTAAGAAATAGTACATGCATTTCCTACTATCGGCGCAGGAATTTTTTTTTTATTCAATTATAATTAACTGTTTATTTATATATATATATATATATATATATATATATATATATATATATATATATATATATATATATTCAAGTAAAGTTTTTTGTATGAAATGAACTCATTCTATCTCTTTTTCGTTCTTCATTTCTCAAAGTGTATGTTTATGTTGTTCAACCCTTATATATAGTTTTCTTCATAGTTCAAGTGATTAGTTCATAGTTTTAATTGTTTTGTTCATAGTTTTAAATGCTCTGTACATAGTTTTATGTGTATTGTATATAGTTTGTGCTCCTAAGGTTTTCTTTACTTTTTATTTTATTTTATCAATTTTATTTTTTGTTTCAAACTTTTAGGCCAATAATATTCTATTCTTTTGTACAATATTGTTATTCTAAAGGGACTTAGTCCCAGAATAAAGTTTTTTTTTTCTATCTATCTATCTATCTATCTGTATACAAGTAACAAATTCCTTCCACCGCCCAAGGGCAATTTAAGGATTGGGGATAGCTAAGGGTAACATATGTGGCAGAAAGCCTTGTGACATTCATTGAACGTGGTGGGATCGTTCTGATAATTATTTATTATTTGCAATATATACACGTTAATGTTATTGGACTGCACAGTCCAGACTGTTACCACAATCCTGATGTCATGACGCCTTCAGTAATCAGTGCTGCAGCCAGTCTTACTTTTTCCAACCTCTTTGGAAATTAATCATCTATACTCGATACAAAATATCGATTGAGTGATTATAGGAAAACAGGTGGGAAAATAGGAAACGCTTTTGTGAGTGTGTGATAGAAAGAATCACTGTGTTTGTTGCTAACGTGAAGATTGTATAATTTTACCTAGCGGTATAACAAACGTCTGGGCCCATCGCGGTATTATTATCTGTTATGAAGTTGCAACTGGTATAAGTATCTGTTAATAATTGTATTCTTTTCTTTATAAAACTTTATCTTTTTTCCTCTCATTATTCTGTAATTAATGTTATTTGTGTTTTCTAACTTTGTTACTCATAGCTTTGTACTGTTTTTCTTTCCAAAAATTAAATTGTATAAATCAATTGTTTATGGTTATTGAGTGAACCTACCAGAATCCCTTAAAGTGGTGACCCCGACGTATGTGATCAGTGGTAGAAGGTTTAAAAATTGAAAATATTAGAGATTTTAACACTAATGCCAAAACCCCTGTGTCTGTGGTACAATTTCAAATATCGCAAAAACTGCCCAAAATTACGTGATCAGCAGCAGGAAAAAAAACAATTGGAATAGTTTCAGACAACTCAGTAGATGACAGATTTATAAAATTCAGGAAGTTTTATGGGAGGGAATATATAAGTCTATAGGTTAAGACCTAATATTGATAGAGCAAGTGGATTAAGGACTTCCAGGATGTAGGGATGGTTTTTGGTTCTGAAGACTTGAAAAAAGAAAACTCCAAGGAGGAATTGTCGTCGGAAAGTAGGATAAAGCCACTTCTACTCAGTGTACCGGAGCGAAACATGTGAACGCCTGAGGAACCCGAAAATGTATCTTATGAAACAATTTATGAATCTCTTCACTCTCATTTCTAGCCTGGCAGATAGCCCTCCATACACTAAACAGCCATAGTCGAAGTGGGTGAATACAAGAGAGGTTACAAGGAGCTGTCTGGTTTTTAGAGGAATACAATCATGGAATCGTAGGAGTTGTTTAAGGGCAGTTATGGATTTTCGGGTAATCTGGGAGATATGGTTATTCCAGAAGAGGTTCTGGTCAAAGGTTACTCCTAAG